TCTTCACTTCTTCCACTCCCCTTTTAGAACAATGACATTACCATGATAAGGAAGCATAACTCAAACACTGGTTAAGATTCTAAGTTGCTTAGCATCTGTAATTCATCTTTTTAAAAATTAAGCCAACTAGGTAATGAGACTTTTATTGGACAAACAAATCATTCCTATCACTCAAGTTTAGAGGTCTTAATTTTATTTGTTAATTTTACAAAAATGTGACCCATTAAGTAGCTTTTAGTTTCTCTTTTTTTCCCCATAAAGATAATATGCAATTATAAATATTCTATTAAATATCACAGTGCTAGTTTTGTTACTGTGGATTTATGAAATAGGCCAAGCTTCTGAATTCTATAGGGCCCATTTCTTAGCAGTGGCTACCAGGTGAGGATATAAATGAACCAGAAGACTGGTCAGCCAGTCAAGCAGAAATACAGCAAGTTCTTGTGTTCTATAAATGTTTAGCTATGATTAGGAAAAGAATAGTGACTTCAGGGATTCACAAACATGATATGATGACAGGTCCCTAATGAATAATGTATACTCAGTACAGTTCACCACAATTACCTCACATGCACAAATGCTATATTCACCCACTGAGGGGTAAAATACCCAGTCTCTGAGACATCGGGAACCATACATATTAAACTGAAATCACTAGGTGCACTGATTTCTGATGCTTATTACTGATTAATGGGTTTTTTTAAAATTTAGCATTCAGTGTCTTTGGCACAAGTGCAGAGATTATCTGCATCAGCACTTTTGTTCCAGGGCAATCACCACTCAGTTCTGAAACATGTCCTGGCAAAGATATGCCCAAGGCAACAGGCCATCAGAAAACAGAGATCCCAGAACGGTCTTAGAACTCATAACCAAACAATTGGTGCATTTTTATTTATTGCTTTTTACTTTTTTAAAAGCAAGCAGATTATCTTTTCTAGTTTATGCAGGACTTTTGTTTTTTAAAGTCAGTTTCTATTCATTTGTGTCAGTTATACTGGCAACCACATACTGTCTACTCTCAAGGCACTTGTATTTTTCTTTATAAAAGAAAAGCCAAAAGCAATCCTTTACAGTAATGTTTCCCTCTACTTATCTTGATAGGCACAGCAGTAAAATATACAATAGACGGCCTGTCTACACTTAAAATTCTAGCACTGCACCACCTCAGTGTTCAGTGTAGACCAGTGTTCCCTCTAACCTTTTTCATGCATGTGCAGAATATATTTTATGGGCAAAAAGGCCTATGCAAATGTACACCACCAACAGAAACACAAAACCTAGTGGTGGGCACTCTGCTAATCAGCCTGACCACACAAGCACACAGCTTACAGAGAACACTGGTGTAGATATTCCTGTCAGTGAAGGCAATCTACCTGCCCAAGAGACAGTAGCTAGGTTAACAGAGGAATGCTTCCATCAACCTAGTGAAGGTTAGGTTGGCTTAACTATACTACTCAGAGGATAGATTTTTCACAGCCCTGAACAACAAAGTTAAACTAACCATTTTCTAGCACAGCCTAGGAAACAATGTTGATAAGTTTGCCCCACGGCATAGTATATTCTCCCAGGGCCACTTCCAAAATGAGTGGAGTGTCATTAACTCAGGGAACATCTACACTAGGAGGTAATGTGGACCTAAGGTACACAATTCCAGCTACGTGAATAGCACAGTTGGGAGTCAACATACCTTAGAATTGAGTTGACGCTGGTCTGGGATTGATGGGAGAAACTTTCCTGTCAACTCCCCTTACACTTCTTGTTCTGGTGGAGTACCAGAGTATCAGTGATCCTAAATTGACCCTAAGGGGATCAATTGCTGCAGCACCAATCTTCTGGTAGGAGTAGATCTGCCCTCACATTGTCTTCAATAGGAATTGAGGGTGTACAGCAGCTTACAGGATCAGACTTTAGTGCATCATGCATACTTTCAAGTCACAGTCTGCCCTTGATAGCACAGCTGCACTTGTTTGAAGATTTGACCCACTCTATCCTTATATCACCTTTTGTTCTGATTATTTCCCAACCTCTTCCTCTAAGCATCCCGAAAGAAACAATACAAATCAAGCCACTTTTACAGGCTCTTATGCCATCCCAATAACCCAACTACAGGTAGAATGTGACCCATTCCCAGGTAGAAAAATAAGTGTTTTCATTATTCTTTTCTTTGATCGTCTTGCTCTGATTTGGTTAATATGCATTTAAGTTTTTACTGTTGCTTTTCCACGAGAGATATAAATGCAAGATCTCAGAGTTTCCTAAAAAAATTTCTAGTACTCTGCAAGGCCAGCCTAAGATGCCATACAACTACAGGGACTCTTCCTCAATTCACAAGAGCACATGAATGGACAAAGAACTTAAAATAGGTATATTTCTCCAAGTTATGTTGTTGGATATACAAGGCCACTGTTTAAATGTTCATAGTAGCCTTACAGAGCCCAAGTCCAGCTCTGTTTTTCTATTTGGTGTGAATCGAATATGGGCTTCTTTGAAAAACTTAACACCATTGCCTATAGAAGTACATTAACCTAGATACCTGCCAATTATGTGTTCTCAGTGAATAATCAATAAACACAGTGATGACGAAGTGGACACACAGAAATATATCCAGAGTAACTGGTTATTCTTGAATCATGTAACTGATCTTTCTAGATAGAAAGGTAGATCTCTCTTTTGAAGAGGCTACCAATAAAAGGATTTTAGAGTGTTTTAAGTACAAAAACATGAATTAAACAGCCCAATCATTTGCCTACTTACCATACACTCAACCTAATGCCCAATGCTCTAAACTTCCTCCTATTCCATTGCCATTTTCTTCCAAAATGGGAATGGTTTGTTTTGAATGAAAACAAGGTATCTGAACAGCTTTCTCCTAGAAGGCCACCAGGAGGCATAGGAGATGACTGAAGGATACCCAACAGAGGAGTGATGGGTAAAGTATTCCTAGATTGCTAAGTATTTCAACCAAACTACCAGCTGCCAAACCAGCTGATACCTTTCTCCATCTGCCATGGCTTCATATACCTGACACAGAAAAATTGACCTCACATTTCCCTGGACACTTTTTCAGCATCTCAGAGGTGTTACTGCCATCCAACAGTAGTTGGATAGTATCGCAAGACTGTGTATGGGAGAGAGGGGTTCTCTATTTGTGAAAAACATCATTAACAATAGAGCACCCCATGTCAGAATAGAATTTTCTCCTAGGCTGTGTCCAGACTCCATGCCTCCGGCGACGGAGGCATGTAGATTAGCCAGCTCGGAAGAGGGAAATGAAGCCGCGATTAAAATAATCGCGGCTTCATTTAAATTTA